ATCGTATGAGCACACAGAAAGAAGGCAGGACCCTGTGACCTCAGAGGAGAACACTCACCAGACAGCTCTGTTTGCACCTTGATTTTGTACATCCAGTCTCCAGAAAAATACACTTTTGTTCTTTAGAACTCTTCAAATTATGGTATTGTTATGGCAGCCCAATATGAATATTGATATCAAAACAATCAACAGAATACTAATAGATCAAATTAAGCTGCATATGAAAACAAGTATACATCATTACCATGTAGAATTTGTTCCTGAGTACAAGAATTATTCAGCATGTAAAAAAAAATCAAACAATGGAACACATTCACAGAGTGAAGAAAAAAACACTCAGCAGACTAGGAGTAGAAGGGGATTGCCCCACCAAATTCTGTATCTTTGGTTTTATAGTTTATTATAATGTTCAAGTGTGTGTCTCTTTGTGTTTTCTATAGTTGAAGTTCATTAAGTGTATATTCATGCATTCTAAATGGATGCAACTAGAGACCATACTCATAAATGAAATAAATCAGACTCACATGTGTAAACATCTTATTGTCTCCCTAGTGTAAGAACTTGAAAGAGTAAACAAAATCTGAAAAGTACAATAGATACTGTGAAAGGGAAAGAAACTACTGAAAAGAAAAGAACAACTGGGATGAGGGAAAAGAGGAAAGAAAGAAAGAAAGAGAAAGAAAGAAAGAAAGAAAGAAAGAAAGAAAGAAAGAAAGAAAGAAAGAAGAAAGAAAGAAGGAAAGAAAGAAAGAAAAAAGGAAAATATATATATACAAGATAGCTAAGATAATTGTACTACTAATTTCTGTTGGTTTATTGAAAGGAGCAGTTAATGTTTGTTTGATCAATCTTACAGGCCTGTATCTGGTATTCTGGGTAACCACTTTAAAGATAACAATATGTAATACAACAACCATTGTTAATTTCCTATCACCTTGTTTTGAATTTCTGTATAGTTTTGTGTGTGTGTGTGTTGTTTTATTTATGTCTTTGTTTTTGTTCTTTTCTCTTTAAAATAAAAAAACAAATTTGAGAAGTTTTCAGTGGTCATTTCTTCAAATATTCTTTTGTTGTTTTTTTTCTCTTCTTCTGGAATTTTATTGGTGGTGCTGGGAATTGAACCCAGAACGTTGTCCATGCTCTGCAAGTGCTTCACTGTTGAGCCACACTCTGGCCCACAACCTCATGTTTTGCATCTTTCATATATTGTTGGATTTGATGTTAATAAACTTTTGTAAAGAATTTTTGCATAGAGCTTGGAATGTGGCTCAATGATAGAGACCTTGCCTAGCATGTTTTGTTCACTTTTTCCCAATATTTTTCTTAGATTTGAGTATTTTGAAGATTCTACTTTATCTCATATATTGTCTTATTAGCTTTTAACTTTTTTCATGGTTGTTTTAGGGATTATAGCATCTTCAATGGATCAGGCTAAACTTGAATTATATTAATGTATATAGAATAAGAATCTTAAAATTGTACTTTCCATTTCTTTACTTCGGACTTTTGTGGTATTACTGATATTCATTTTTGACTACATGTTACTATCTTGCAATACACAGTAAGCTGTGGGCAATCATACTGCTCATGTTACTTACTTCCCTGCCTCAGACAACTTTGCTCTTCACAGCCTGATGTTCAATGACTGAACTACTATTTCATATATTTTGTCCAAGTTTTAAATGTTTCATTTAGGGAGGTAAATATAATTCCTGTTACTTTATTTTCACTGGAGGTATAAATGTGACTTAATATTTGAATGATGGTTAATTACAAGTGCTTTATTTCACTATTTGTGGTACTAGAGCTTGAACCCAAGTTTTCCCTGAGCCACATGCCCAGCCCTTTTTTATTTTCTTAGTTTCATACAGGGTCATGCTAAATTCCCCAGGGTGGTCTCAAACATGTGAACCTCCTACCTCAGTCTCCCAGAGTGTTGGAATTTTAGGCAGAATGTACTTCCAACCTTATGTGTGTTTCCTCCCTGATCTGAACTAGAAAGTTCAAACTGAAGCACTTTTTTTCATCATAAAATGACCCTTACATTTATTTTCTGCATTTCCTTCAATGTCTTGAATATTTTTAGAAAAAGTAATTGTTTTATTAAAATATCATTATATTATCTGCATTATCTCCACTTAGAGATTATTAGAATTGTATAAGAACCCTACCACTTTGTATGTAACTCTGTACTGTCTGTATTGTTCTTTTGCTATTTTGTAAAATGTTGTCTGTCTGTTTATGTTTTCCTCCTTTTATTTTTAAAATAAAAAAATTAAAAAAGAAAAAGTAATTGTTTTATTAAAATATCATTATATTATCTGCATTATCTCCACTTAGAGATTCTTAGAATTGTATAAGAATTGTATAAGAGATTATTAGGATTATATTAGAATTGTATAATTGTTAGATTATTAGAAATGTATAAGGATACAAAAATGTGTACTAGCTATTTGTTGGGTACCATTAAATCTGTATTTCTCTTTTCTGCTTTTTTATTCATTCCACACATATTTACTGAAGGCCCGTGAGCTAAACCTAATGGCCCAGGCCACATCTATACCTTAAATATTTTTGAACAATCTTTTTGTTTGTGAAGTAGGGCACACCCCTAATCTCACTGCCTGCTATTTGCCACAATTTGGGAACTTTTATAGGAAAAATACGTCTACCCCTTTTGCACAGAATGCCCACACCAAAAGATAAAAGGAGGCTTACCACATAACATACAGAAACAACGCATAGGTAAATGCACCCAGATCCATAAAAATTGCTGCTCCCTTTGAGGGAAGCTCGTGCCTTCTTCCCTTATTGCCTTTTACTCATTTTCTGCTGGTTTGTTATTGCCTAAGTATTTCCCACGGGTCCTGACTACTCATGTGATTGCTCCTTCAGATACAAAGAATGTCAAAAAACAAGAGAAACTTGTTAGCAGTATCTCACTCCAGAAACTAGAATGGTAAATCTATTATTATCTGAGAGGTTGACAGATCAACCTGGATCTGCCTGAACACACACACACACACACACACACACACACACACACACACACTATATATATATATATATATAATCTGTACAGATAAGTTGTCAGTTGATGCATGAGCTTCCTTTCTCTTTATGAAGGAGTTGTTGAATATCTATTTGCCAATAAAGGCAGAACACTTCTATTTTCCACTGAACCTGGTATTAACACTGGCAATCAAGAGCAAAATGCCTGATAGGGCATAAGACTATTATCAGTTTTCCTGCTCTTTCAATTCTAGCATAACTTCCGTATTGTATGAATGTGCCTCTTGTCTCAAGTGCCTGCAAGAGAACTGAGGGCTTTGAAATTACTAAGGTATGATTCATGATGTCTGGGGTTGCTATCTTATATACTTTCATCCGCCACCTTTCCCCATTAGTTTTCAGCACTTATGCTGTTGTGATGTTATGTGTTTTTTACAGCACTACGGAGTGAATTTTGGGCCTTTGTACTACGCTATATAGCTACATCGCTAGCCCTATTCCCCTTTTAATTGTGAGACAGGGTCTTCCTAAGGCTTTAAGTTGCCCAGACTGGGCTTGCATTTGTAATGCTCCTGCCTCAGCTACCCAGAGTGCTGGGATTACAGGCCTGCACCATCTCACTCCAGCTCCTGTGATGTTACATTCTAAGGCAGGGTAACAAAGTATTTAGCAGAACAAAATAATTGTCTTTGCAGAGGGCCATACAGTGTCTTTCACAATTATACAACTCTGACTGCAATACAAAAGAAAGCCATAGACAATATGCAAATGAATAAACATAACTATGTTTTGGTAACATTTTGTTTATGGAACTACAATTTAAATTTCATATATTTTCTACAAGTAGTCCTTAAGTTTTCAACCACAAAAATGGTAAAAGCCATTCTTAATTATAGACTCACAAATCAGGCAGTAAGTCAGTTTGGGCCAATGCGCTGTTTATCAATTCCTATTTTAGAATTCTAATTTTACTTTCACAAAAGACTGTCTTCATATGTAAAATGTTTTCTTTTTTCACCTGATTAACACACTCAGAGAGAGGGATTTTGTTTCCTGAGTTCTAACGTGACACTTAACTCTAGAACTCCTCACATGAGTTTTTCATAAAGATCCAGACATTTGAATAGCCTACAATTTTCTAACCTAATCTTCTGCTACCCACCTCAATATATAACAGAATTTTGTACATTCATAGGTTTCAAGTGGGCCCTGATGGACTGTCTCAGGTTAAAAGTGAGTTGTTCCCTCAATTGATATGTAGATTGACGAGCTGGTGAACAGGTTTCCTGGGAAAGAACCACCCCTAAGGAAAGAACTAGATAGACAAGGTATTTCCAAACTAGATAGACAAAGGTATATAGGCAAAGGGATATGTCTGTACTTTTATAGTGTGAAGATTCAATACATTCAGAGTTCTAGAAAAAACCGTAGGAATTTCTCACCTTGAAAATTCATGGACATCCGTGGTAGTGGGGAGCCAGGGTAGGAAGGAAGATCTAGTACACAGAATAATACCCAAGGGAGAGGATAGGAATGGAGCACTGCAGGAGAGGACCAGAAGTGCCTAACCCTCAGCTCACTGACCTTGAGTATGGGGAAGGCATCACTTTAGAAATATCCTCTAATAACTGAAAGGAACACCTAAGCAGTTAAGCATATGTCGGAATGAAAACTTGGAGAAAGCTTACAAAATTACTACATCATATGGTCCACACAGCACCCTTAAGAGGTGACTATCTCCAACTCACGAATAAGAAAAAAGATATTTTAAAAATATTACTCTTATTATATTTCTAAATAAGACTCCAGGGGTAAGCCAAAACTGACATTGTCAGAAGTTTTTAGTAAATGCTTGTATTGCTTTTATAATGGTCACGTTCTTTTATTCAGTATGTGTTAAGTATAGAAAAATACACATAAAAAGAAAATAAGGGGATTAAAAAAGTTGTGTCATAAATTTTAAGGAAAAAAGAACATAAAGAATGTTCTTTAAAGCTGCTTTATTAACTTCACAATATATAATGAGTATCTTTCCATGCAACAGCTATGTTCTGCTAACAAAAGAGATACAATCTGGGTCAAAAATACAACATTCTATTAGAAGCTCGTAATCGGAGACTCATGCAAACCAGTGACATCAAAAGGCTTACAACAGTACATCACAAACATGTAAGTTTAGGAAGCAAGTGTTTCTTTATGAACTTCAGGGAAAGCATCAAAATTCAGGGCATAAGGCAAAAGTCACTGCGATGGTCACGGTGAGGGGGATCATTGCTAACTGCCCGCAAGCTGTGGCTCAGCTGCCTTCCCCTCAGTTTCTCCATGAGTTGTCTCACGTCCTCCCCAAGCCTTTCCACATTCTCTTCTCTCATCCTTGCCTGTGGCTCTCCAAGCCTATGCATCAGGTTCCATCTATAGTGCAGGATGGGCTGTCTAACTCGGAATTTCCCACGATTTCCTCTAGGCACACAGTATTCACCAGCTTCCAAAGGCAGGGCCAAGGGCTCCTCTTTATTAGCATGTAGCTCCTTTTCATCTTTTTCTTCGTTTTCCACGTTGAGACTTTTTATCACTAGTTCCTGTTTGGATTCCATCACTCCTAGGAGACAAGCGACAGAGGGATTGAATTCTTGGTGGACTGATCAGCACCGAGGACAGTGGCCATACACCAGACTGAAAATTCAGAGGCCTGCACGTCAAAGGGCTTTTGTCAAGGTCCCCACTCCGTGCCCTTCCTTTCCCCAAAGCCCAGCATTTTTCCTGCAGATCCATCTCCTGGCCTCTGCAGGAACCAAAATGGAGGATGAAGATGAAATGGGAAACGCGTAGGAAGAAGAGGGGGTACTTGGCTCCGGGTCTCAGACTGGGCTTTCCACACTCCCTGGCTCGCCCTAACCTGGGGCTACCCTTGTCTCCTTTCCTCTTTCCCTCTCCTCCCTCTCCCGCTCCCCATCCTTGCCCCTAGAAGAGTCGATGTGGCCCTGGGCCCCTCAGACCTACAGAAGGCCGCTGCGGGACTAGGAAGGCAGCAGCGTCCCAGCGCTTGGAGCCACTCCCCGCCCCCAAGCGCTGAGCACTCCCCGCCGCGCTCCGGATCCGGGTGTCCCAGCGTCTCCACCCCCACTTCCACTGCGCCGCTCCGCCCCCTGCAGACCACCATTTTCTGCACCCGGAAGGAGCGGGGCGGGGTGCTGGGCGGCGCGGCTTGGGAAAGAGGCGCACTGGCCCTCCCCTGGAACCTGGAAGCCCTGCCGCACACGCAGGACCGCAACCTGCACCTGCCCGCGGTGCCGCTGGCTGCATTGCTCACCCGCTGTGTCTCCTACCAGAGGCAGCCAGACTCCTGGGGGTGAGGTTCCGCAGGCCGCGTTGCTCTCCCATCCCAACCCCAGCGACCCCCTCTCGGAGTCCCTTACCCGCTCCTCTTATGCCTCCTGCAGTTCCAGTCTGCCCCAGGCCGGCGCGCTACCGGGAGTAGGTAGGGCCTCTTAGACCTAGAGGCTGTGCAACGCCCAAGTCTGGGGGTGAAGCCAGGCGCGTGAGTGTGAGTTGGCCAGTCCCGCGAGGCTTCAGTCACGCCCCCTGACTCCGCCCAGGTCCCAGCCCCGCACAGCTGTCAGGAGAGCAGCGTGGCCCTCCCACACCCCTTTACTAGTACCAGCCTAGGCCCTGTGCTGCCTTCTTAATGTTCCCCTGGGCCTTTATCTGGCTGCCAGAGAAGTGCAGTGTCTTCTCAGGGGGCCATTGGCCATTCCCATTTCTCTGCGAGAATTGCCAGTCCTGCTCCTCCACTCCTGGAATACACCTTCCTTCTGCTGTATACTCAGCTCTCCATGTCCCCTCCACTAAAATATATGGAAGGAATGTGTCAGGAAAAGTGCCTGAAAAAATGGATTATTCACATTCTTCATGCCTTTCTGCATTTCATATATATATCTTTATAAAGGAAAGGAATTTTTTAAAAAGCAAGATTAAAGTTGGAATAGAAAACCCAACCATCTGTCTCACATGCTGTCATTCTGTAAATATAGACTCTATAGACAGCTGCTTTTTAGACTTTGAAAAAGACAGGGCAGCTGATAGACAGCTCCTCTTATGAGGGGCCTGAGGGCTTTCTATGGGGTGAGTCAACAAATATATAGTGCAACAGAATTTTATCAGACTTTCAGAGTGAAAGAAATCAAACCCCTTCACATATTGTGGTCCAAATGTTAGTATGCCTGTATTTGCAGATTAAATGACCATTATTTAGAAAGTCCCAAGTAATCTGCAATAAACATATTACATGACTATGAATTGAATTTAGGAAGGTTGTGGTTACATGATAAATATACAAAGCGTAATTGTAGTTTGATATGCTAGTAATTAACAATCAGAAATTGAAGTGTAAGAAAATCACCTATAGTACCTTAAAAAAGTGAAATATTTAGAAATAAATTTTAAAAACGTAGAAAGCCTGCACACTGTAAACTGTCAAATATTGCTGAAAGAAACTAAAGACCAAAATATATGTAAACATATATGAAGTAATTTTTTCTAATATCCAGTACTGGGAATTAATCAATAAAGTCAGTGTAATCAAAATAAAATCCCAGTAGATTTTTTATATAAATTGGCAAACTTACCTCCAAGCTTACATGGGAAAGCAAAGGACCTACAAATGATAAAATATTTTTAAAAGCAGTCCCACAAATCTGGAGAACTACAACACTCTATTATGATTTCAAGCCTTAAGATGTCATAGTAAAAGTTGTATATTAGCAGAGTAAACATACACTCATATCAGTGGAACAGAATACAGCTTTGAAATATATATATATAATTTCATATACTTTTTTGTCAAAATATATATATTTTGTCATATATTTTATATATGTATACTTTTTGTCAAAAATATACAATGGTACAATGCTATAGTATTAAGTATAGTTAATATACTATAATTATTAGAATTATTAGTATGAATTGTGATATACAATTATACTGTCTCAAAAATTAAAATGTGTGTATATATATATATTACCTGTATGCCTGTGAAATATAGCTACATGTAGTAACTTAAAGTATGACAAAGATCACATACAATGAAGTGGGAAATGATATTTCTTTGAAAAAAGTATTATAAGGACAGTTGAATATGCAAGTGAGAAAAAAATGTATATATTGACTTCATCTTAAATAAATACACCCACAAACACACCCACACATGCAATGCATTACAGATCTAAATAGGAAAGGTGAAATGTAATTTTATAATTTTAATTTGCACAGTGCAGCCGATCATCTTCAGAGCTTTGCAGTAGGGAGATTTATTACTCCAAAGCACAAAGCATAAAGGAAATATTATGTCATACCTTATAATTATATAAAAACAATTGTTCATAAATAGGTACCACTAAAAGAGTAAAAAAAAACAAGCTGGAAGAAGATGTTTGGGACAGATACATCTGGTGAAATCTCATAATGGTAATATGTAAAAAATTCTTACAACAGGAGTCTGGGGGGTGGCTAGGTGGGAGAGTGCTTGCCTAGTGTCTGCAAGGCCCTGGGTTCAATGCCCAGTACCACACACAAAAAAATAATTATTACAAATGATATGAAATGAAATGAAATCCAAAATTAAATCTTAAAATATATAATAAACTGTATTAATTTGCTGAGAAATGCAAATTATAACCAAAATGCAATACCACTAAACACTCCTCAGAGTGCCTAAAATAATAAAGACAAAAATACTAAGTATTTTGCAAGGATGTGCTACAAGTAGAACTGGTACCACCATTTTGAAAAAACTGTACAGCAAAATGCCTTAAAAATAAGCATGTATAGGCTGGATGCACTTGGGAGGCTGAGGCAGGAGGATCGCTGTGAGTTCGAGGCCAGCCTGGGCTACAAAGTGAGTTCAAGACCATCCTGAACTGCATATTGAAACCCAGTCTCAAAAAAGACAAACAAACATACAAAAAAAGCAAGTGTAAATCGGGCAGGGTGGCAGAGGTCTGTAATCCCAGTACTCATGTAGGCTGAGGCAGGAGGATTGCCATGAGATTGAGGCCAGACTGGGCTACATAGTGTGACTCTTGTCTCAAAAACTACATAAATAAAAAATAAAAATAATAAGCATGTGTATACTCTATATGTGAACACATGTATACTCTAGTAATTTCACTCTAGACCTATTCATAATAAAAGAGTATGTATTAATTTACCAAACAGCATTTATATGTATGTCCATAATAGCACTCACAGAATTTTATTTTAATTGACACATAAAATATAAAAATATACATATTAGAGGGATACTACCATATGTAATGTTTCAATAAATGTATACACTGTGTAATCTTTAAATAAGGTTAAGCATGTCTGTCCTTCAGGATGTTTATCATTATGGTGAAAGTGACCAAAATCCTTCCTTCCAGCTTTTTGAAATGTACACTACGTTATTGTTATCTATAGTTACACTATCGTGCAATAGCACGCAAGAATTTATTGCTCCTATCTAACTATAACTTATTTATCCATTGAGCAACTTTTCTCCATTGCTCCCGCCTACTGTTTTGAGTCTCTTGTAAACAATCACTTCACTTTCAATTTCTAATTCCACTTGTGATAGTGACAATGGAATGCTTGTCTTTCTGTGCAGGGTTATTTGACTTAACATGATAATCTCCAGGTTCATTCATGTGGCCACAATTAACTTGACAGAATTTCATTCTTTTGTATCGCAGAACAGTATCCATTTGTACACCTACCACATGCTCTTTGGCCATTCATCAGTTGATAGACACTTAAGTCCCTTCCACTTCTTGGCTGTTGCAAGTAGTGCTGAAATAAACAGGGAGGGCAAATGTCTCACAGAAATATTGATTTCATTTTCTTTGGATATTTCATAAGGTAGTTCAGTTTTTTTAATTTTTGAGAAACCTAACCTACACGATGTTTTCCATAATGGCTGTGCTAATTTACACTCCCATCAGGAGTGGGCGAGGTTTCCTTTTCTCCATATCTTTGCCAGCATTTTATATAATTGGGTTTTCTTCCTTTTGCTGTTTTAAATTTTAAAAACTTTTAATTCATATTTGAGCTACATAATGATTACATTCATATCATCATGGGGATTTGCTACATGTACATAATACCTGTTAATTCTTTTTACATCCCCTTCTCTTTTTCACCCTCTCCTCTTCCTCCATCTCTTATGTTAATTCTTTGTTTTCATATTTCAAAATGTTTTAATACAAACTATTTGAAATGATGAATACCAAAAGGAAACATGAATGGCAGAGAAAAAAACATCAAGGAAAGTACAGCGCAAGAAAGCACAAAGCCATCTGATTACACATTAAAATAAGAAGCAAGGAAATTAGACAATCATATTTCTTATGTGATATGAAGCTCCATTTTTAAATTTTATTTTTATTAGTACATGTTTCTAGTACATGCAGTTTGCAGTCATCTTGGGAAGTGGGTGAATATACTCAATAAATCTTGATTCTTTTTTAAAATCCCTTTCCCCTTCCGTCCTGCCTCCTCTAAATCAGCTTTCCCAATTTTTGTTCTTGTTGATATTACCAATCTTATCTCATATTTATGACATAAAATGTTCACATTCATTGAGGTTATTAGGTTGCTGCGCATGACGTATCCTTATTCCACTTATTTCCTTTTCCCCTCTTGCCCTCAGTTTCCAGCACCCCTTCCAATTTGCAAGAGATCTATCCCTTCTCCTTCCATCATCTTTTATCATGCTCTTTTATTTGTCTTACTCAACTGAGAGATACTAAATGACATTTAAGCTTGTGTGTCTGATTCATGTCACTCAATAGTATATGTGCCAGGTGGATCTATTATCTTACAAATGTCTCAAATTTGTCCTTCTTTTTTCTTTTTTTATTAAGTTTATTAGTACAATTTAGATGTGCATAATGATCTCATTCATCACAGAGAATATGTACCTATACATGCTATATCTTGGTTCTTTTCCCCCCAATCCCCTCCTTTCCCTTCAATCCTTCTTCCCCTCCTTATTTACAAAGCTTTGTTTCCATTTTACCCCTTTTATTATTTTTTCTTTTCCCCTCCCTTCCTTTTCCCCTTACCCCTTTCTAATTCCCCTGTCTTTTGAACAATTTCTTCCTATTTTGCAATAACTTAAACACCTTTCTCCTTATTTACCCTTTTGGTTTCTCATACCGAAGAAACAGTGTGATATTTACACATGTGTGTAACTTATTTCACTTAACAGTATGGTCTCAGGGTGCATCCATTGACCTAGGAATGCCTCAAGTTTATCCTTTTTATGGCTGAGTAGTACTCCATTGTATAAAAGAACCATGTCTTTTTTATCCATTCCTCAGTTGATGGGCATTTGGGTTGTTCTCAAGATTTAACTGTTACAAACTGTGCTGTAAACATGGGTGTATATATATCACTGTGGTATGATGTTTTTAATCTTTCTGGGAAGATAACCAGCAGGGGAATTGCTGGATCAAATGGGACTTCTAATTTTTTGAAGAATCACCACACTGATTGCACAAGTCTGCACACCCACCAACAGTGGAGAAGCATTCCTTTTTCCCCACAGCTTCACCAGCCTTTGATATTAGTTGACTTCTCAATAATTGCCATTCTTTCTGGAGTGAGATGGAATCTGTGTTGTTTTAATTTGCATCTCTCAAATGACTGGTGATGTTGAACATTTTTTTCATATATTTATTTGCCATTTCTATTTCTTCCTTTGAGAAGTGCATCTTCATCTCAGAGGCCCATTATTGGATTGGCTCTTTAAATTTGGGGGGGATAATATTTCTCAATTCTTTATATGTTCTAGATATTAGTAGATATTAGTGTAAGTGGTTCTTGACCTTTGTGTCTATCCCAAGGACCTACCTGCCCAATTTATTAAAATGAGAGGTTGCTATCTATTTGGATATGCACTCTGTCTTTTTGTACTGGATTATTGTGATGGTTATTACCCCAGGAAATCACAGTGATGTCATAATGAAGAAAAACTGATTATAACATGTGTGACCTCCTCGCTAAAATAGTACAATTAGCAATGACAGTAACATCCAGCACAGCCTAGCAACAGACCAACTATGATAGCTACTACTTTGGTACATTTCACCATAGGAGCAAGCTCTACAGTTACATAACAAAATCCAACATATACCAGGAACTTGTATGCAATGAGTTTCCCCTTAGCAGACTGATTTTATGTAGTGGCTGTGTGCGGCCCCTGTGGCAACAGTGTCCTGTCATTGGTGAGCCACCTCTGCCAGTGCTGTTGGGCTGTTCTGGGCTGGGGTGGCTCCCGCTGGTGAGCATGGTACTGATGGCTTGTCCTTTATTGCCAAGTATTTTCCACTAGGTAAAGATGCCACATTTCCTTTATCTAATTGTCTGTTAATGGATATATGAGCTGCTTCCAGGATTTAGCTATTATGAATCCTGCTGCTACAAATATTAGTACGCACATATCACTGTATTATGATGTCTTTAGCTCTTTGGGGGAATAGCTGGGTCAAATGGAATTTTTAATTTTAATTCTTTGAGTAATCTCCATAGTGATTTCCATAACAGTTGTACTATTTTATATTCCCATCAACAATGTAGCAAGGTTTCTTTTTTACCACAGCCACACTAGTATTCTTTATTTTTTATTACTTTATGATTGCCATTCTTTTTGGTGTAAAATGGAATATTAGTATTGTTTAAATTTGCATTTCTCCAAAGACCAGAGATGTTGAACATTTTTTTCATATGTCTGTGGGTCATTTGTACTTCTTCCTCTGAGAAGTGTCTATTCATTTCACTTTTGAATTTCCTGATTGGGTCTTATAGTTTAGGTGGTCTAGTTTTTTTGTTGTTGTTTTAGTTCTTTATATATTCTAGGTATTAGTCCTCTGAGAAATAGCTGGCAAAGTTTTTACTATTCTATAGGTTGTCTCTTCACTCTAATAATTGATTCCTTTGCTTTGCAGAAGCTTCTTAATTTGATATAATCACATCATTTTGATCCTTGATGGTATTTCTTATGCAATTATATTTCTGTTTAGGAAATCATTTCCTAAACCTATTGCTTCAAGTGTCTTTGAATAGTTCACCTATTTTTAGCAGGTTCAATGATTCTGTTTTAATGTTTATATGTTCAATAGATTTGGATTTTAGTTTAGTACATGGTGAGAGGGCTGGATCCAGTTTTAATCTGCTGAAAACAGACATGCTGTGGGGTGACTCTGGCCAAAGGACTGATTGAAGTGCATGTGTAAAGATGAAGGGACCTGGGAATGACAGATCCCAGGCTTCCAGAATGAATGGTTAGATTTTAGAGTAGAATCTGGAGGGTAAGAGTCAGCAGAATTAAAAGCAGTTCTCAGAGATGTTTGCTTTTGTCACTGTCTCTTCTCTCTCCCAATAAGATTGCTTAAACTAAGTCAATATGTGCCACATAAAAAAAGTATCCCATACGGCCCTGTCCCTTGACCAAAACTCTTATTTATGTTGCAAATGCTTTTCTTCTATGTATTTGTTCTCATGCTCTTGAGTTACAAGTAAATAACTGCAGAGTTCTCAGCTACCTGCTGTTTCCCTGAAACTGTCTTATGCTGAAGTAGCAGTCCTTCTGGGTTCTCTTTATTGACTGAACTTAAAGTCCCATCTCTGAGTGAACCTTTTCATCTTTTCTGCAGCCATAGTCACACAGTGCAACAATATCCAGTTTTCCTAGCACTGTTTAATGAATAAACTGGCTTTCCTGCAATGTATGCTTTTGGCCCCTTTGTCAACAATCAAATACCTAAATATGTCTGGAGATGTTTCTGTATCCTCTATTGTATTTCACTGATCTGCATGTCTGTTTTTTTCCCAGTACATTGCATTTTTTGTCCCTGTTGCTTTATAGTATAGCTTGAAGTCAGCTAATGTGATGCCTCCTGCTTTGCTTTTTTTTTCCCAAGAATGATTTAGGTAAAGCAAACTTTAGACTGAAAAAGCAATAAAAAGAAACAAGAGGGGCTGGGGATTTAGCTCAGCGGCAAAAGCGCCTGCCTGGCAAGTGCAAGGTCGTGAGTTCGGTTCCCGGTACCAGAGAAAAACCAAAAAAAAATAAAAAAATAAAAAAATAAAAAGAAACAAGAAATGTCATTATAAAATAATAATGGGTTCATTTCAGAAAAAGGAAGTAACAGTTCTGAATTGTACATATATATACAGGCACACAGTATCTGAGAACCCAAATACATAAAGCAAATATTAATAAACCCAAATGAATAGAATGATTTTAATACAGTAATAGAGGCTGTAATATCCCATTTTCAGACACTGACAGATCATCTAGACAGACTATCAAGGAAACATTGAGTTAAATTGTACCCTAGACCAAAATAAGTTAACTTCAATATACTTTTTATAATTTCATGCCTGTTCTTGTTATTAATTTTTAATATTTTTTGCATAATGGTCAGAAATGATACTGGGTATGATTTCAAGTTTTTTAAAAAGATCTGAGACCAAAAAAAAAAAAAAAAAAAGATCTGAGACCTGTTTTATGGTCTAACATGTGATCTACCTTGAAGAATGTTCAGTGTGCTCATGAGAAAAAATTGTAATCAGAAGTTGGAATGGAATGCCCTAAACTCTCTGTTAGATCCATTTTCTTTATCTGATGTAAGTTTAACTACTCCTGCTTTCTTTTGTGTTCCATTTGCATGCAATATCTTATTGCATCTCTTTATTCTCAGTGTATTTAAACTCAGTACATGAAGTGAGTTTCATATTGGGTCTTGAGATTTTTTCTTCATTTGGTCACTATTTCCATTAACTGG